ATTTATAGCATGTTGTATTCCCAGCCACATTAAATATACACAGAAAATATGTCCTTATGTATTAAGATCATTTGTTTTTCCGTCGCAAGATCAGACTATGACAGAATTTAAAACATTAACATATTTAAGTAATCAATAATAATTTTGATATATTATTAATATGTGGATTTTTTATTCTCAATTAAATTATTGAAATAAAAGATATACTGAACAAAGATTCCATACAGCTTCATTGAAAGGATTTGCAAAAAAATTGGTTGTTTTCATTTAAAAAGAGGCCTGTTTGAGTAACATCTCTGCAGGATTCTGGCTGTGTATGGTTTAAAAACAATTAATGTTTTAAAATGTTAATTAAACCTAAGCTCTTTCAATACAGGATTCCAAGTACAGTGGCCCTTTTATGAGTGCTCGATCATTCTAATATAGTGATAAAGTCCACGTCTTCTCAGGGCCGACAGTTAAACGTGTTGGAGAACAGTCAGAGGACCGTTCATAAAAGTTTCATCTGCGGCTTCACAGGGATTTAAGACTCCACATCAGGTCATAGTATAGGATACAGGAACCTGCTAACACGTCAGGATTCACACATGTGCTGAGGAGTCAGAGGAAATCCTCTGGATTGTGGGAAAGGACTTGGTAGAAGTTGGACAAAGATGATGACTCAGTTTCTTCATCACAAGGACTGACACGAACAGATAAAAGTAATGACTAACATACAGCGTTACATGTGGCTGTAAAGCTGCAGAGCATGCTATGAATTCAGGATTTATAAGTATGGACAATAGAATTCACCAAAAATGATTACCTCAGACGTCAAATAAATGACTTACTGCAAAAGGGAATGCGCCAGTACGGGCCAGATTCTTAGGGACCAGTTGATTGATCAGTTTAATCAATTGTCTGGTCCAGAAAGAATCAAATAAATTGGATTTATCGGTTTTCCAACTAAGTCTGCCAAGTTATGAAATGCTGTGAGTGAGAGATCAATAATTTGCAGATTTCAGTTTGGTTTATTTCACTAAAATTGTTGTTTCACAATCTGCACATATATTATTGATAACTACAATTTGAGAAGCAGCCGTTCAGGTCTAAAAGTCAGTAAGTTCACAATGTCATTCATTATTTACTACATGGAGAGTCCCATATGAATTATTTTTATTTACATAATCATCTTCAGAGTTAGAAATAATTTACTTCCTATAGACCTGCACATATGCTTTGTCCCAAGAGTTTATGGGCAATCAAAGAGTTTTTTCATTTAAAAACAGAGAATATAATTAATAATTAGAAAATGAAATTATTACAATTTTTACAAAATTGTCCGATAAATAGATAATTAGTAGAGCAGACAATTCACACGGGAACTGTTATAGTTTTCCTAATAGTCTTTTGAGAAGAGGGTTGATGCTCTGCTTCACTTTGACCACAGTTACAGTACTGACACACATCATGCATGTGAATTCAAGAAATAATAATTCATAAACAAAGACAAGAAAGAGTTGTGGTAAGATTTTAAACTTTAGACTCTCCATCTCTGCTCTTAACTGAAAATAATAAAACTTATTTTTTCAAATAGACAAAGGCACATCACTGGTGCAAGCAGTTCTAGCACAGCGAGTCCCAGAAGAACCTCTTGTCCTTTATGTCGTCCCAAATAAATATTTCAAGGAGGATACCTCTAAATAAATAAGTATGACAAGTCACAGTGGTGCACTAAAATAAAGTATGAATGATTGAAAGCATGCGACCACTTCATGTTTGAGCCTCTTTTGCTACATGTCCAGAAATAGTGAACTCACATTTTTCACTCCAGAAAAAAGCCTTCTTCTTTCCAAACAGATCCGAGTCGCAAGTCAAAATAAAATTATATAACCTCATGATTCATTAACATAAACTTTAAAAAAAAATCATTTGGGAGAAGCACTTTTGTTTTGCACTGACACAATAGTTTCCCTCTTGGTTTGACAACATTCTTTTAATTAAGAATTACCACACAGTCTATAAATACAAGAAGGATCGTGGTCAGTTTGAATTGGGGCTAGACACTTTGATAAACAGTTACAATGTTCTTTTTTAATGAGACTCGTGTGTGTGTAACAGACAGAGTCAGGGCACATATCCTGTGGACCAGAGTCGATGTCAGAGCAGCTCATGTCTGCAGAGGAGCACCCGGCACAGACCCTCTACAGACAGGCCGAGTAGTCCAGACCCTGTAGACCAGACCCATTACAGACCAGACTCTGTAGACCAGGCCGTGGATACTGATGGGGCTTTGAAAGATGAAACACAACCACCAATTCCAACAACTTGCTATTTAACTTTCTATTTTTAAGTCTAATGCAAATTGTACTTGTTTAAATCAGTCTATGCCTGGTGTGTTAAGAGCACAACTCTCCACATGCAGGAGCACAGGGGCAAGGGGCCCAATCCATCACACGCTGACAGCAGTCATTACTGCACACAGGAGCATCTGTGGCCCTAGGTAAGAGCACAGGAGTTCCCTGATGTGATGTCACATCTACAAGCCCTCTGCAGGTAACACACACATTGTCTGCAGGGCGTCTTGTTTTCTCTGAGGTAATATGTGAATGACCTCACCGTGTCCAAACACCTGCGCCTGGTGCACAGGTGAGCCCTGAGCACTCACTCATCATACACGCACACGCACACACCCGCGCACACACAGACACACACACACACACGCACACGCGCACACGCACACACACGTTGGATGGCAACGCATCGCTCCATGTCAACACAATTCTATTGTGTGAAAGGAAGAAAGTGTGATATCTATGAGCAACTCTTTCAGATCAGAGGATACGAGCTTCTTTATGTTCACAGGAATGACAGAATCATGGAATCTATTTAATCCACACTGACTTTAGAAGCATCAGGTTTCTGTATTGTGTTTGAAGGTTGCTCACATGTGAGACATAGCCTTAGGTTTCAGTTGATTTTCCTGCTCTGTCATATACTGTTTATATACTGTATATTATCTGGTTGTGTGAAGTGAGAAAATGAATGAATGTGAATTTGCAGTTGTGATACAGTACGCAATGTTTACGCTTATTCAGTAACAACATCGCTGTATTTACAAGAAAATGTAAAATATGATTTGAGGATAAACTATGGTTTGAATGAATTTATGGGAAGTAAAACCTTTTACATTGCAATAAACGCTCTCATAAACTATTTTTCCACATTAGCTGCGGTCCCACCACAGAGCCTTGCATGCAAAGTCTTTCCTGTAAGAAGCTTGATCCATCACAACATTATTATTATGGACATCTTTTTGGTCTAATCAGGCAACGGCTCTGTATCAGCAAAAGTCAGCCTGAGTAAACAAAGTTATAGTGTTTATGATTGGACTAATCAGCAAGAATTGTGAGCTGCTGTTACAGTAAACACAAACCAATGTCAACTAAAAGAGAACATTGTGACAGGCCAAATAAGAGTACAGTGGTATTATCATTAGTACATTTGATTAACAGAATGCAATGTCATTTAGTGGAGAAAACATCCTGACTTGTTTAATCAAAGAGGTTAAAATATACAAAGAAATGAGCATTGAACTATATTAACCGAAGATAGTCCCTGTTGCCTCCAGTCTTCAGACCGCACACAGAAACCCTACAGATAAGGGCATTTGCAGCTGATATAAAAGTGTAATGTAAGTGAGTGCAGCCACTATCAGATAAGCCCAGCCTGTTCACTACTGCCTACTTTAATGCCAAATGACTGGAGCTAAGCGCTGTGATAAAACGCTGGCTGAGGGCTATTGGTCATGGAAACCACAAGCTGCTTTAGATTCAGACAAGATCACAGATTTCGGAGGTGCGGCTGTTTCACTGTGACCCCATCCATGACTGAAATCTGGATTACTTACATTATACATTAACCAAATCCATAAAATGTGTAGATATATGCCTTACAGAGGCAGGCCTGCACTGTGAAATGCATTCTTTATTCCAGTGGTGTATATTCACGATTTCGCTCAGTCTAAGATAGGTGTCAAATTTGAAGAATTGTCTCCTTCAGCTCTTGTGGCCTTGTTTCCTCTCTGGTCTATAGCCACGCCTGACACAATATTAAAAAGCCTGGCGATAGATGGGCAATACTCTAGAGGACACGCTCCGATAAGGCTTGAATCATTACAAACCGGCAAGAAGAAAACAGGCGCACTTTTCACCCCTATACTGTTAGAATACCAATACAGGTTGTACAAGCATAACTCCCTGTGTTGTTTTTGCTCTCATGTGCCGAAGAAGCTGGAGGCTTTGTCACATCACACACTTGTCCAGCTGAATTAGCCCTGACAGTCATGGGCTGGCAAGAGAGCTAAACGGTAAACATGTCTGACACAATAACAATAAGAATACTAATGCTCCTGAGGAACAGAGTGTGCATAAAAGTGGATGCCGTCATGTTGAAGCCCGATATTTGTATAAAATGATGGAGCATTTTGTCTGTCAGTAGTTGTAAACAAATACATGCATGGGAGCTGGTGTTTTGGATGGATCAAAAGGATTGTATAGTGATTTTGAATACAAATATAGCTCAACTTTGTATATGCACTTGAAAACAGGGCATACCAAAAAGAAATACGGTAAATCAATATTCACCTTTATTTATATTTATACATCATGCACTTGATCTGCAGTGGGAGAAAGAGCTTTCAAGCTATGTAATTTTGGCATGGTTTCTCCTAATCCAATGATTCCGACTACACACAGACAGAGAATAAAGTATATATCACATGAAGTACTATAATTAGTCCAACAGCCATCTGACACCCATTATCAACAATTTAATATTCTTGGGACATGCACAGTAGCAAATGGTTTTCACATTAAGGTGTGTTGAAATGTTAAATATACAGCGAGAGCCGTGTACATTGACTTAATATCAGTTTTCCAGACCCGGGTGCCAGATAGTTGAGATTCTTGGCAAACTTAACAGGAAATCAGAGACATGTGGGGGGAAAAAAAACTGTTTACCTTGTAGAGGAGAGCAATTATCTGGCGCATGGTGAGCCGGTGGAAAACACAGACGTCATAGAGCGCCGACACAGCCAGGACCGTCACCCCCAGTTCTTTCCATAACATGCTACACGCAGCAAAGAGCAGGCTGCCCAGGAACCAGGCGACCAGGCGCGCGGGTCCGGCCTGTCCTCGCAGCTTACAGTGGCGCACATAGCAGAGCAGCGAGACGAGAAAGAAGAGCGCGGAGCCTTCGTCTGCGCGTCCCACCACTCCGGCCACGGCTTCGGTGTGGATGGGGTGTGCAGCGAAAAGAAGGCCAGACAGAAGGCTCCACAGACCGCCTCCGAGCAGCAACCGGGACAGCGCCGTGAAGAGCCCAGTGACCATTCCGTGCAGGAGGATGTTGACCAAGTGGTAGCCAGAGGGATCCAGCCCGCCCAGAGCGTAGTTGAAGCGGAAGGAGAGGGTGCAGAGCGGGCGGTAGGACTTGTGGCTCCCGCTGTGGGTGAGCAGCGTGCCCCAGAAGTCGTCGTAAAAGATGTTTGTCCAGGGGGTTTCGGGGAGCAGGTCCTGGTTGGTCTTGATCGCGCGGCTGGAATGAGAAGAGCGATTACATTAGCAACAGTAGGGATGGCTGCCTTTCAGAGCCTGACGATACAATATGTACATAACTATGCTTGACAAGATGCAATAAAAAAGGCTTTTGGACCCTTATCTAAAACCCAGCTCCATAAAAAAACAATAGTTATGCATTTATATCTCATTTACTTAACTTAATAAAGTCAAGAGTCTATAAGCAATATCCATACTGTATATATTGTATCTATTGGTAAAAAAAGAGGATAAAAATATACATTATTAAATAAGAAATCCATATTGTGTCTATTTTTGTTGTTGATACACATATAAAATCGATTTGTGAGTACAGCCCTAAGTCACAGCAAGGCAAAATCCTTACCTCAACCAACTCAATGAACTATGTGCAGCGGGGAAGTGCAGGGGGATAATTATTGATTAATCATTTATGTATTTCATGAAATATACAGTTAAAAACATCGACAGTCATATAGTCGATAAATGATGAATGAAAAGGATTGAAAGAAGTGCTATCTAATGGTAACCGTCTGTAGAACAAAATATTTGTTGACTGATGTGCCTCTACTAAGGAATATATTTTCTATGATGGTAGAAATTGCAAAAAAATCCAGCCTTAAAAATTCAGCCTTAGAATTGTTTGTATGATGAAAATGTATGGAATAATCATTATTGCGTATTATTACTTTATACATTTTATACATTATTACCATTTAACCCGATCATTTAATCTAATTTAACCACTAACCCAAGTAACCAATGACACCTCACTCTTTCGCAGCCTAAAAACCCAACATTACTTCATATTTACAAGCAGCCCAACGGTTCTTTTACACAGCTCCGAATAAACAGCAGATTGACAGTGAATTTTCCTTAAGCTAAGTGGTTATGTGGCATTTCACAAACACAACTTTACAAGGGCAAGTCTCAAGTTTGAAGCGCTTCGCCACAGCGGCCACAACCCTTACAGCTGTGCACTGGAGAAATAAGCAGGAGCACCACACCCTCCACCACAGAAAACACATGCTGCCAGTAAGCGGACGGCGAGAGAGCGAGGTGCTGAAAACTGCCACGGACACTCAAAATGCACTCAACGTGAATCGGGACATAATTACATTGGCCTATATTACCATGTTCTTTTGGCAGGCGCAGCACCGAACTATGAAGCCGTGTTGCAGGTTAATTTATGTGACATAACACGCAGCTGCGACGTTTGCTACAAGCTGTGAGTGTCATTGCAGAGTTAAAGGTGGTATAACAAGGGCTCAGAGCAAATTAAGTGATTAGTTAAGCATGAGGCATGATTCGGGAAATTAAATATGAATCAATAATGTTTAGGTCTATTCATAATCTGACTCCAGCTTTCATGGCAGTATGTTACATTTTATTGGAAAACTTCACCAGAAAAATGTGAATATACCTTAGACTGTATATAGATGGACAGTGCTAACTCCCTAGCTCAATGAAGCCAATAGGGAAGTGCTCATGGACGACGTTTTGCCCTGGCTCTACTGCTGTACATTGAAAAGTTCATTTCTCTAGCTCACTAACCGTTTGTGTCGCGCTCACCATTTTGGGCTTAAACAATTTTGTGGTGTAGCGCTCTTTATGATCATGGAGATATTTTTTGATAGCGTCTTTGTGAATCCAAACGAGCGATATAAGGATTGACCAGTCAGATGCCTTCATTCATGGGGGAGACTCGAGCGTGCAACCGACTTAGAAACACGGCAGCCCCTGTTACGAAGCAAAGCTAAGGCCCCGGAAGAATTGGCCTCTTCCGCATTGAGGCAAACACTATGGGTGACGTCAGCACTCGGTTAGTCCATTCCTAATATACAGTCTATGTATGTGACAGGTGATAATAGCCAATAGTCTGGAGTGGTCAATTAGAACATAGTGATGTGAGTGATAAAAGCTGGAGTGTTTCCATATTAGAAGGTGTAATGAAATGCTACACAGCTGTTTTGACAATTTTGACATTTAAACATTGTGCTTCGTCTTGGCAGTGAAACTTAAAACATCTGTACAAGACGCAAAAGGGGAAGGGCCGACAGCATTTATGAACTTGCAAGATCATCAAAGTATACATTTTGATTCTCCAACTTTGAAGAAACTTGATAAAATTGAAATAATCTAAAATCCTAAAATAACTACAGACCATCCACTCGGGATTAGGAATTCTAGATCTAAAAATTGCCATCTTTATTTAACCAATTCTGTAAGTGAGAGACTCAAATAAGGGGCATCACGGTTCAATCGCACCTAAGCGCAGTTTGAAAGTTAAGCGCCTTGTTTTTCCATTCCACTGCAGTGGCTTCGCTGCCGTGATACTTTATATATCTTCAAAACCACACAAACCATTTTTCTGGCAGCGCAGAGAGACGCACAGAGCTGATGTTAGCCCACACAGTGTTTACAGCTTCAGCTTCTAGACAAAAATCCTTAAAGCCTCATGGATTCGTATGGAGACTCTTAACTCAAGACAGGCAAGCAAACTTGTGAACCGTTTTTTTTTTAACCGACATTATGAAGAAGATTAAAACAACAATGAGAAAGAACAATGAGACTGTAAGTGCAGTTCAGCAAGAGCTTACTGTAGTTCAATTTGTTCACTTACACATTCATTCAATTAAATTGAATACCGTTTATTATTTTTTGCGCCAAAATCACAACAGCTGTTGTCTCAGAAGACTTCAAATAATAATCGATTCACCAACAACAGATCAGATAATTAAACTGTTTGAACATGGGGAACGCAATAGGAACGAACAGTAGGGAGTTCATAGGGAGTGGGATTCTCCATAAATATTAACAAATGTCCTTAAATGTCGCGGATCCTTAGACCTTCCTGCACAAAAATGATCTGTTTTGCAACAAGGATCATCATGTAAATCTTAAAAAGAATTCAAATTTGAGCGAGAAATGAAAAGTATTCCAGTCCATATTTTTGGACTTCCATTAGCAGGTAAATTAACAAACATGCATTCAAAATAAAATGAACTACATCATATTTCATTCAGCGAGAGCCAGATGTATTCATACAACAAGATCATTTTCAGTTTGTAAAGGAATTACTGTCATCCAAACAACTGCCTTTTTTTGGGATTGGCTCAAAGGGGCCACTAAAAGAGCCATTTCGATTGGGTATATGCAGCCCATGATCGTGAGAGAGCAGCAGATCACCCTCATCAGATCCTTCCACAGAGCTATCCACAGAGCTGCTGTAGGGTGATATAGAGCTGCTGTAGAGTGACACAGAGCTGGTGTGGAGCCTGCGTGCCCTGGGCTGGAGCTCCGACCAGGGAACAAGAGGATCGAGTTCCCACAAATGAAACCGCATCTTCACTGTTCCTCCATCATCTCCTTAGAGCTGCCACCACAGCCTGCATCAGTCGCACAAACACATCTGCAATATCTAATATGATGTATATGCGACATTATTAAACTGTCTGGCTCCAAACCTGTCCAGTATTTTCAGAACGATTAAGCGAAGACGTGCGATGACAGAACGCAGACGGCTCCATGCAATGTTCATGTCAGAATCAAAACGTCAGCCCGACTTCTATAAGACACGTGTCTGAGATCGCAGTCAAAAAGACATGTGGTTACAAACGTGTAGACCTTATTCATTGTATCGCATATCTATAGCCATGTCTTGGGCAGGAAAAGGTAATGAAATTGATTAAAAAAATGCTGCTGAAAGAAAAGGTTGAATACAAAAAAAACCATCAAGGATTCTTCTTTACATCTGGCCAATATGTTTTAAACATAAAACAACCACACATTACCCAAGCCCTGGCTGGAATATCCAATTTCTATTCCCTTAGATCTTGAATAACACCGGCTTTTCAGTTTCAATAAATTTAGCAGTTAGTCGAGGCTTTCATGTACATCTCACAAGGAATTCTAATAGGTGCATATCAAATTCTGTAGTGATGTGAGAGTACAGATGAAAGGCAAGGGTCACGAGTTATTGGTACATTTGTGATGTAATCTGAAGACAACCACCCAAGAGCCATCAGGAAAAAACATGCACAATCACAGATATTCTGGCAAAATATATGGTTGCAATATTTCTCTCCATCATTGCAATTTCAATGTGATTTTTCAATGTCAAATTTACTAAAAATAACTTCAAGAGATTTTCATTTGCATCTATGGAGCGAGTATGAATACACAATTCTTGTCCTAAACTCCTGTTAAGTTCTAAACTATAGTATAGATTAAATATTCACTGCCAAAATGTTTGTCTTTTCTCACAAAAGGAGTAAATTGATAAATCTCCAAACGCACAACTGAAAATCAAGCGACATAATCCCAACCTAAATTGACATTTTGCTTTTCCTTGGTCCCAATCACTTTTGTTTACCAATCACTCAAATAACTGCAGTTTTTTGCCAATTCTGACAACTCATTCTGCGATTTCGATTCCTTTGCGATTAACCGTGTTGGAGAAAGTGATGAAAAGGCTGCCAGCTCCATGTCATCACGGATCAGATGTGTCACGCTGGTATTTTTGGAACGTCCAGGGAGAGACCAGGGGAAGCCCACGCAGCGTTTCCGCCAGGGCCCTTTGTCTAATGTTTCTTCCCATGGGAATGATAGCGGCTCATTAGTTGAATAGATCCGCAGAATCTGACACCAAACGTTCTGTCGCATGTTTATATTCCCTGTCACTGCTTGTATTTAGAAAAATGTGTGGGAATGCCTTTGGTAGTTTGTGGTGTGTTTGGTAAATGCAACTGAAATAAATGATGAAGATCCAAACAAAATCCCAGTCATTCATTGCTTCCATGTTGCCAGAATTGAACAATACCCATTGTTGGATTTATTTTGGCATTGCTGATCGTAATCACCAGACAACTATTGTGATCAAATACAATAATTATTTCTGTTGCTTTTCCTAATCAGTAACAGTGCAGTGTATCACTGGCTTGTTTCAGTGGAGATAGCTATTGTTTAATGTTGGGCATTATAGACAAAAGTTTCTATTTG